TGGTTGAAATTTCCTTAAAGTCGCATTCTTAAAATTTTGTTAAAAAAATTCATATAGATATTGTATTTCACTGCAACAAATGGCTAGATCTATTTTGTCTTAAAATGTTTATATTAAAATGTTCACTTTTTTTTACAAGTCTTAAAATGTTCACATTATTAAATAAGAGAGTATACCTGTCTTCCCTTTCTTCCCTCCTCCAATTATCTCTGCAAGTGACACTACCACCCACCCAATTACTGCAGCAAAATACCTAGGACCTTACTCCTTATTGATTTCTCTGTTTGCCTTACTCCCTTTATCCAATCCTCCAGAAAGTTTAGAAGGTTCTGTTTTCCCTGTCTGCCACCATTTCATCTCCGCTACCAACACCTGCTCCAAACCTACTGCACTCTTTCTGGATTGCTAAATAGCCCAAGGGATATCCTTGCCTCCTGAGGTCTATTCTCCACACCCAGCCTGAGTCATCATTTTAACCTCAGCCAGAACAGGCTTTTTCTGGTTTGGAAGACCCTGAAATGGCTCCCCCTGGTTTGTGAAAGAAATGCAAATGGCTCCCCTGGTTCACAGGATTCTGCAAGGTCCTCAACCTTATCTCAGACCACTCTATGCCAGCCACTGTGTGCAATAAACATGGCTCCCTTTGTCCTCCAGCATGTTAATTTCTTTGTACGCCTTGCTGTGGCCTAGAACACTCTTCTCTCCCCTCTTTCCACTGCCTGATACTTTTCTTTTTCAGGTCTCCACCTAATGCCCTCTCCTTGGAGGCAATTCCAGGCATTCTCAAGATGGCCTCCCCCATTTCCTTTCCCTCTCACACCCTAATTGCTTTTATTTCATAGCATTTTTCTCAACCTTAAACTATTTTATTTACCATTTTACAAACACTGTTTATTTACATTTATATCTCACACAGATAAAAGCTCTATGAAAACCAGGAACTCAGTGTCTTTTTAGTGCTCTAGGGTCAGCACCTAGAACAATGTTTGCTACTAAAGATTTGTCAAATGACTGAAAAAGTAAATCATGCACCCTTGGAGTACTTCTATCCCAGTTTGAGCAATATAAAATTATATTACTCAAATACCATTACGTATTTATCATCCAGATTTTCTCTTAACACTGTGTTCACCCAGTACATTTTCCAAGTAGTTCTTTCTATCCACCAAGGGAGAATGTACTTGTCGTATAAACAGGATTTTTCCCATTATAAATTAATAAATTACTATTTCAATTTTATACATCATTCTCACAAACTTGAATATTGTGTGAGAAATGGTATAATGCTCAGAGATCTGGCAAATAAGAATCTAGCTTAGAAAAGTAAGGGCTACATAAGTTCATAAAGAAAATACCTCTTTCAACCCTGATCTCATAAAAGATGTCTTTCTAGGTAACATCTTGGCATCATTGATAACCAACTTTTTGAAACTTCTACATTGTTTTCAAAGTCCCACCTAATTTTGTAGTAAATTAATTTTATAGGTTTGCTAAATCAGTATCACCAGTATGATTATTAATGCATATTAATCAATTCATTTCATTAGACAAATGTACTAAGTCCTGGGACATGTGACTAAAACAGAAGAGAACCCTGCCCTAGCAGAGCTTACAGTCTAGTAGGTAAGTCAAACCTTAAGAAAATAATACCAGAGACTGTTCAGTATAAAATAGGAAGCTATGGAAACACTGAGCTTGGGGACCTAACTGAGCCTACGAATCAAAGGAAGGTAGCCTGAGGAAGTAGCCTGAGGAAGTGATGTTTAGGCAGAGATCAGAAATACGGTTGAGAAATAAGCCTCTGTGTGTTTGTGTGTGTGTGTGTGTGCGTGTGTGTGTGTGTGCGTGCGCGCGCACGCACATGCACACACTAATAAGGGAAGGAGGAGTGAGGGTGGATAGTACTTTATTAAGAGGGAATAGCGTGGCACTTTATTGGAGGGAGTGTTTATTATGGCTGAAAAATAAGTAGAGCTGGAGATAATAAATTTGGAGAGAAAAGCTGGAATCAAATTGCAGTTATTTTAAATGGACTAAATGGAGTGGGGGGTTTGTATTGTCCTACTCAAACTTTAGAGTGATTGCTAGTGATTTTGCTCCAAAGATGCTATATTCATTAATATTTTTAAAAAGTCAAGAATTATTTTTAGCTAGGAGAACAAGATTTTGTTAGGCAAATTTCTTGAGTATAGTCTCCTGGCTTATCTTACTTTTTTAAAAGAATAATAAATAATAACACTTGCGCCATTTAACTTTATATATATATACAGCTTGAAAATATATGTGTGTTTTTTTGGGTTTTTTTTTTTTTAGAGAGAGTGTGAGTTGGGGGGAGGGCAGAGGGAGAGGGAGGGAATCTTAAGCAGACTCCACACTGAGCATTCTGAGCCCCACACGGGGCTTGAGCTCATGACCCTCAGATGATGACCTGAGCCAAAATCAAGAGTCAGAGGCTCAACTGACTGAGCCACCCAGATGCCCCATACAGCTTGAAAGTATTTTTAAGTAGCTACATTTAAAAATAACTCAAAAGGATCCTGCCATTTACCTTTTGGGGGAAAAAAAAATACATGGAACAAAACAAACCATGCTTTTCAATTGCTAAGGAAAGAGTATTTTAAGTTTTTTCTTAAATGTTTGTATATATATAATATAAAAATATTATATTTTTATATTATATATATACAAATGTTTAAGAAGAAATTCAAAACTCTTCCCTTAGCAATTTATATATATAAAATAGTTGTGTATTGTATATAAATATATAATTTATTTTATTTATAATTTATGTATTTTAAAACTACAATTTACATAAAACATTTATTTATATATTATATATTTATATATATAAATGTTTAAGAAGGCATTTCAAACCCTCCCCATAGCAATTGAAAAACATGTTTTGTTTTGATGCTGTGTATGTTTTTGCCAAAAGTAAACAGCATGATTCTTTTGAGGTGGTATTTTTAAATGTAGCTATTTAAAAATATTTTCAAGCTGTTATTTTTCTCTCCACTACTTTCACATTTACTTCTTTTTATTATTTTTTTTAAAGATGTATTTATTTGACAGAAACACAGCGAGAGCGGGAACACAAACGGGGGGAGTGGGAGAGGGAGAAGCAGGCTTCCTGCCGAGCAGGGAGCCCGATGCGGGGCTCGATCCCAGGACCCTGGGATCATGACCTGAGCCGAA